TTGTAAGATTCTATAAAGTTTTATCAATACTACGGAAGTTATAAAATTTCCTTAGCCTTCCAAGGTCAGAATTGAGTATTAAGATGGTTATAAAAGATTATTTACGATCATTGAGAATGATAGTTCAGAATAAGTTCATACTATCTAAGCTAGTAGCATTCATCTAACTCCTATTGATTTTATCTACCATTATATACGATGGTAGATTTTTCGAAAACAGGACTGGACGAGTCTGAGTCATGAATCACACTCGAAAGTTAGATGTGGTTGACTCGAGTCATTCATTTATTCAAATAAGTAAAAGCTGGTAACTCAATACTAAAATAACTTTCAGAAGAAACTGATGATTTTCTATTAGATACTGCAACGCAAGACGGATATAGTTGGAGCAAAAGAAAATTATTTTCAAGTTCCCACTTCTTCTCTTCCACTATCTATTTACTATTTCTATCTATCAAACGGAAGAATGTCTGATCTATAGTGACCATTCTCTCCTTTTGTTGATTGACTTTTTTTCTCTATCTAGTTTCAATCGATATGAATCAAAAATACATTCCTGAAGAAGCTGTCATTCGACAGCGAAACATCAAGGAGGTCGACAAATAAAGAGAAAGAGTTTGTTTTCAAATTCAATCAATAAATATGACCTTACTAATCGCTCATCAACTATTCTTACTTTGTTAATAGGTCTCTATTAATTGTATCATTTTATTTTACGGAGGACTGTTCTTATCTTGTTGTTATTGTCGTGCCATGAAAAACTGGTTGTTAATGTTCTTCATAAAAAAAAGTAAACAGGAAACGAAAAAGATGGCAAAAATAACTCGACTCGAAAAGTGGTTGAATTTGTCTAACCCTATGATTTTCTAACTAGGAAGAAGGAAATTAATAATAAAAATCGATAAGATTCTCCTCGAATGTATCAGAAAAGTTATACTTAGGTTTATGAGAGTTGAACACACTTAGATCAGCATTCATACTAATGATTGTTTGTTGTCCCGGTCAAAAACAATTTTGTGTCCTGATTTTAAACTTAGTAATACATGTGCTAATAAAAAATGCAATATCATTTTCTAGTAGTGACAATGACCTCTTATATCCTTCGTCTTAGTGATTCATTACTTCTTTTTAATTCAGTAACATTTACTCTATTCTGTACATTTATCTGTTCAATCCCTCTGTTGTTTTCGAAAAAAAAAAATTAATTTTACTATTATAATTGTAACAGTAAATATTGAAGTGATTACTACTAAATAATTTTCGCATAAAAATTTAGAACTTATGAGTTGTGAGAATATGACATTTAATAGAAGTTTTACTTGACTATAAAAGATATTACTTCCAATGAAAATATGTTAGTCTCAGAATTATCTTGCTTATATCTAATCTGAATTCATCGACAACATTTGTTTATTCTCAATACACTTACTTTATCAAGAAATATAATCTTTGTTGCATATTTAAGAAATTGAATTTGATGTGTTACTAAAATACAAATTTTAAATTGTAATTTTCCAATAATACATCTATATATTAAATAAAAAGAAAAAGAGTATTGAAATATTAATAATAATTATTATAATTTGAATAATTACTTTTCAAAAATATGTCGACCAACTTCAACATCAACAGCTGATAATGGATCATCAAGTAAATAAATATCATCATCACGATAAAGTGCTCGAGCTAATGATAATCGAGCTTTTTGTCCACCTGACAAAATAATTCCATTATCTCCAACTATAGTTGAATCACCATATGGTAATTTTTCTAAATCCTATATAAATAGATGAATCTAATAATTAAATAAAATATATATATAAAAGTAACAAACAATATTTAATGCTGTAGCATGAATACATCGATAAAATTTTTGTACATCATAATCAAGACCATAAAGTATATTTTCTCTAATCGTACCCGAAAATATCCATGATTCTATAAGAAAATAAAGTTTTCTCTATTAATAATTTAAGTTTTGTTTTTTTATTTAAATTTATTTACCTTGTGGTACATAACAAAGACGTGATTTTGTACTATATGAAATTTTTCCATTTGTTATTGGCATTTCACCAAGTAATGTCATTAATAATGAACTCTAGAAATATAAATACTGCAATTAGATTTACTTATTTAATATTAAACATTATAATTTATGTACTTTTCCTGAAGCAATTGAACCAATGATCATAATGAGATCACCACCACAAGCAGAAAATGAAATATTGTTTAATTCAAATGATGAATTTTCCTTAAAAAAAAATTCATCAATTTAAACTATTTTGAGAGAGTTTTTCTTATGAAATTACCTCCCAATTTGATGATACTTGTTGAACATTAATATATAAAGTATCACTTTCTTCATTTTCAGTTTTTGAATGATAAGCAATTGCATTTGATCGATTATATTCATCACACATTAAAAATTCCTAAAAATGAACTATTCCATTTTTAATAGTTCAAAACGAAAAAAAATATACTTTTATACGATTTGATGCAGCCCAATATTGCGACAGATTTGTATAAGCATTGGACATATTATGTAAATATGTATGACGAAGATAAGAGATTAAAACAAATGCTATTGTAAAAAAGTCGGTATCAAATGGTGCTCGTCGATACCAAAGAAGACCAAAAATAATCAAAAAAAATGTTGTTGGAAATGCGTGTGCATTAACAATTTTTACTGTATTTACTAACGATTGAAGAATAATATACACTGTTTCTCGTCTAAATACATAAAATAACAGAATTAAAATCTAAATATTTATCAACCAAAATGTATCATACCTCCTTACACGTTCAACTTTAAGTTGAAATGGTCTTTCCCATACATACATCTTTACAAGATGTATTGATTTAACAATTTCATTCATTAATTTAATACGTAAATCTGTTTTTCGAACACGTTTCGTCCTAAATATAAAGCGTAACATAAAAATTTTTTGTAAAAAGAAGAAGCACTCCGCACCATATCAACTGAATACATTTTCCATAAATCATTTGTAAAATCATTACAAAACATGTATAAATAATAGCCAATAATATTGTAATACCAACACGAGACCAAAGAATAACAAGTACAACAAATGTTTCAAGTAAACCAACCCAAAGAAAGTGACCATCAATTGCTAAACGTTCAATTGTTTGAACATCATTCGTTAACAGATTAACAATTTTTCCACTTGAAATTTTTCCTAATGATCCCATTGATAATCTCATAAGCTATATTAATATCAATATCAATAGATTCTTTTCTTTATTTATATAATTTGTATTTCTAACCTTACGAAATATAAGTTCACTATATGCACATCGGAGACGCATACCACCAAGAGAAGTTCCAATGAATGTTGTATGACGAGTTAAAAACATAATCCAAGGAAAAGCACTTGTTAATATAGCTAAAACTATAACTTCAGTGAATGATACATTTGAACATGGTGCAAAATATCGAGTAAAACGTGCTAATACAAATGGTTGAATAAAACGACATGTTGTCTATAAATAAATCCTAAGACTTATGATTTTTTTTCTAATTGAAAAAGAATATGTCTACATACATAAATGAATAGAAACAAGCCTATAACATAATATCGACTTCCGTAGACTTTCCAAGTTGCACGAAATAATGATGGTTTATATTTTTTGTTGTTGGATTTATTAGCAAGTA